GAGTCAATATCTTCAACACTGCGCCCACTCTTATCCGGTCGCTCATGAAGTTTGGCGACCAATACGTCAAACAACACAACAGAAACACATTGAAAGTGTTGGGAACGGCCGGCGAACCCATCAATCCTGAGGCCTGGCTTTGGTTCTGGGATGTGGTCGGCGACCGTCGGTGTCCTGTCGTCGACAACTACTGGCAAACAGAGACTGTATGTCATATTTATTTTGTATAAATACTTATATTATGTAAATAGACATTACACCTAAAGACTCAATGGACTTTACACATGATATGCAAACATTATAACTTTATTTAACTATAGAGCGGACCAATGATCTCATCCATACCGGGGGCCACACCTATGAAGCCCGGATCGGCTACCCTTCCCTTTTTCGGTGTTATACCGGCGATACTGGACTCCGAGGGCAGAGAATTGGAGGGCCCGGCTGTGGGACAGTTGGTGTTTAAGAAGCCGTGGCCGGGTATCGCCCGTACCATTGATGGCAAACACGATAGGTATCAAAATGTATACTTTAAAAAGTTTAGGGGCTATTACTGTACGGGCGATGGCGTCCAACGGGACGCCGACGGCTACTATTGGTTGACCGGTCGTAATGACGACACTCTCAACGTTTCCGGACATCTATTGTCTACCGTAGAGGTGGAGACGGCTGTTGTCGAGCACCGGGCGATCGCAGAGGCGGCCGCAGTGTCGGCCCCGCATGCCATCAAAGGCGAGTGCATTCACGTGTTTGTTGTGTTGATTAATGGCTTTAAACTTACGGCTGAACTGGAGATCGATATCAAACGCAGAGGTATTTAATTAAAATATAGTTATGTTTATAATTAACTAAAAGCATAATTTGTGCCCCAAATTAAGCTCGTGTTAAAATCGGAGCCCTCGCAGAGCCAGATGTGATCCGCGCTGTGAGTGGACTCCCGAAGACTAAATCGGGTAAAATTATGCGAAGGATATTGACTAAAGTGGCCCGAAATGAGCGCGATTTAGGCGACACGTCCACAATGGCTGATCAGTCAGTACTTCAGGAGCTGTTCGCTACGGGTGCCAGCGATAGCATGTCAGCCATTTAATACTCAGGCAACTTATTGTGTTAATTGTGTCATGCCAATATTTATGATTGTTAGATATGTTAACTTATTTGTTTAGCTATTTTTATGTTAGTAAATATTGATCTTAAAACATTAATTTATTATTAAAAATATATATCTAATAATTACAATTATAA